ATATATATATATATATATATATATATATATATATTATATATATATAGTATATATATATATATATATATATATATATANATATATATATATATATATATATATATATATATATATATATATATATATATATATATGTATAAGTATACATAATATAAATATATATATATGTGTGTGTACGATTGTGTACATATATCAGTGTACATATATCAGTACGTCTCTAATGAGCTCCATGGTATGTTATGTATGCACATATAAAAAGACAACCATCAGATTCGCATCTTAACTCCACAATATTGTAAGCTCACTTACTAGCACAGACGTGGTTGTAATTGCATCCTGCATTATCGTAAGCAGCGACTTGCTCACCGCCCTGAATAGTACACTCTGTTCCTGGAACTCCTCAGTTCCACCTAAGTCCCCATCCGGCCCAACAATACTGTTGATGGTCTCAGCCTGGTTGCGCAACATCTCATCGTGCATCTCCAACTCACCCAACAGATCGACCCAGGTGCTCTGGCTCACTGCTCCCGCGTCCTCTGGCCAACAGCAGTAAATAAAAAGCGAAATTTGAGCTTAGTCGTGAGTTTAAGCGTCTGTGTCGGATCACACTTGGTGTCCGGTATACTATGTGTGCAATAGATACGTTTATAGCTACTCGCCAAACAGAACTACACAGGTTCTGTATCACCGCACTCGCGTCAGCAGTTACGCATATGCGTCTGTGTTACAGTACAGTTGGTGCATGATGGTATTATGTGGGCAAGAGATGTAATGACAACAGGTCCACCCAGTTACGTTATACCGCCGCACTCGCGTCCTCTGCCAACAGTAGTAGGTTAAGTCGAGACTGCAAACTCGGCAGTGTGTGAAATCCTACTTGGTTTATGGGGGTACTGTGTGAGCCATACAGATGAAACGATAATCTGATACGAAACAAATCAGACTAGTTGCTTTGTACCACTGCCCTCGTATTTCCCGCCAACCGATGGAGCCGAATGTCGATTTCATACACACAGTGATCCGCACGTGCGTCTGCGTTGAATTATACTTGTGTATGGTAGTTTGTGTATGGTAGTATGCGGGTAACATAGGGTATCACAGATGCACTCATAGTCACTCAAAGCGAACATATCCACAACTGCGTACCAATGCACTCGCAGCCTCTGCCAACAGTAGTAGGTGAAAAAAAATCGTATTTGTTTGCCTTGTACACAATCGTGCCCGTATTGAAGCAGGCTGCCAGTTTTGTGGTTCTATAATGTGATCTAAAGTGATGTACATTTCGTTTTGGGTTCCCCCAGATTGCATATTGAAGACGGCAATTGAATCGGCACACGCGAACTGTACCTAATACAACTGAAGTGTTGAAATTTTAAACCCCAGTACTTCAGGTATAAAACAATACACAGTACAACACCCAGAACTACTTATATATAAGCACAGGGTACTGGCATGAGACTATCGCCTTGTCTCGCCCACATCCAAATAGCACGCACTGAGTAAACACAGACGGCGCAGAAGTTCAGATACAGTGCAATACATAGTACAACCACCAACACTTAACGTACACCGACGCACAGCACAGACGTGATTGATATTTTTTTTCGTCCAGAAGGCTCTTGCAGACTCCAATACCAAGGTGCTTTACAGTGAAAAGTACGAGCATTGACAAGGCTCAAATTGACCACTGCTATGGCGGTGTGACTTGCACAATTATCATAAACGTGCTGTACTGGCTTATACCTACGGGCAACAAATACGATGGACAGTAGGCTCCTAGAATAAACACTTTGACGAATACATACAGGCAGCTGAAAGTGTAGAGCAGAAGATTGCAGGGTGAACTTATCCATAGATACACGTGGGCAACAAACAGAAATATAGACACGTTTGCAGTATAAAATTAACCCCATTGACCAATATAATACGGGGAGCCAACCTAGTAGGACAACGTTTGCAGAACAACACTGACAAATACGTATGGACAACTAATAGAACAAAAAAAAGTTGGTGGTAAAATAAAACCCCTTGGCAATGTGTATGGGCATTTAAATGCTAAAACAGGAGTTCGCAAAACAAATACCACTCCTTTGACCCATATATATGACAAATCAGTAAGTACGAAACAGAAACAGAAGTATACAGTACAAACTTTAAACCTTAAGCCCCGAATACGCATGGGCAATCACCGTGAACGAGCAAGCTTCAATATCATATCCGTGCACGTGGCACCACACATGTTCAAGCTACATACCATCGTCGCTTCCGCCTACTTTCTCTTTCTCCTTGACGGCCTCGAGACTCTCCAGACCTTCCCCAACCCTTCCAGTCTCTCCTTCCTGACACCGTTCGGCATCCGCATTCGTATCTAAATCTCTGTTCTTCAATGGATCGTCACTTGACTCAGCCTCTCTCTCGCGCTGAAGTGATGCGACGCTCTGGTTAGCTGAGTAGGCTCGTAGTAACGTGGCAAGCGGGGCTGCCTCGGCACGGTCGTGCGCTTTGGCACTGCCCAAGGCTACCAGCCACTCGCGCCGTTGCTTGTCGCTCTGTGCACACAGCGTAAACACCTGCGACCCATTGCTGACAGTGAACTCGCCCACCGTACCTGTATTCGAGGTAAGAACCACCGAATTCCGATCCGACAGATGAGAGGGAGAGAGAGTGTGTGTGCTGGAGCAT